AAGTTACATGTGGATGGATTTATTACCGCGATCACAGAGTACAACGCGCGCAAGCATCGCACCATCGGCATGTGGCCCGTCGAAGTTACCCCCGCGATCGCCGACAGGCTCTTAAAGACAGTGTACAGCCACGTAAAAATTGCAGGTCCTGCAAAGTTCAAGATAGGTGATCAGGTGCGCGTCAACAAGTACAAAACGATTTTCGAGAAGGGTTATACACCAAATTGAACCACCGAGGTATTTAAGATTGTTAAAGTACAACACACCAATCCTGTAACCTATCTACTTGAGGATTATCGTGAAGAACCCGTCGCTGGAGCGTTCTACGAGTACGGGTTGCATCGTGCAACTTATCCCGATGTGTATCTCGTCGAAAAGATATTGCGTAGGAGGGGTGACAAGGTTTATGTGAAATGGATAGAAAATAATTCTATAAGAGGACTATGAAATAAAAGAATTAAAAGTGTTATAAAAAGTACTACAATTTTAACATAGGTCATTTAAGATATAAAATCAATTAGAAATTAAAGAGGCCGTTTAGGACCGGGCATACATAGGTGTAAGTAGCCAGTTAAATTAAATTATTTAAGTGAATTCATATACCGTATTTTTTCCAACTTATCCTGTGCGCCAGTTACATACTAGTCTTAAAACACAGGTTAATCCCCGTAAGTGGAAGTGTTATCGTCAGTGAATTCATTCGCTATAAATTATTTTGATAATGCTACACAGTAGCATCTAATATGATAACCCCCTTCCCCACTTCCCCCCTTATTAAAATTCTTATTGCGAAAAATATTACCCCAGCCAGGATTCGAACCTGGGACCTCCCTCAATCCGTGCGGGCGTCGCAATAAGAATTTTAATAAGGGGGGAAGTGGGGAAGGGGTTATCATATTAGATGCTACTGTGTAGCATTATCAAAATAATTTATAGCGTGAATTCACTGACGATAATACTTCCACTTACGGGGATTAACCTTTTAAGACTAGTATGTAACTGGCGCACAGGAAAAGTTGGAAAAAATACGGTATATGAATTCACTTAAATAATTTAATTTAACTGGCTACTTACACCTATACCCGGTCCTAAACGGCCTCTTTAATTTCTAATTGTAATAAAAAGTATTATTACCTTCTTCATTAGCATCCTCCTGATCTTTCTCCAGCTCCTGTTCTTCCTGGTCCAACATCACTTCATCGCAGAAAAGATAAAATTTTGTTTAATTTAGTCTAAACTATTAGCAAATTTTTAAGAAACTTACCTGGAGAGTAAGAAATGGAGTCGTCGTCGATATTTTTTCTTCTAGACCCAACAATGCTTGAGCATTTTACGAACGGTAGCTGCATCGTACCATTTTTTCTTCTAGACCCAACAATGCTTGAGCATTTTACGAATGGTAGCTGCATCGTACCATTTTTTTCTTCTAGACCCAACAATGCTTGGGCATTTTACTAACGGTAACTGCATTGCACCACTTAATAAGATGTGTATGTTATAGAAAAAGTATTGTGTAAAGGAGGGGGTTACAAGGTTTACGTGAAATAGCTAGGATAATATAGACTATTAAAAAAATGTTTTAATCCAAAAATATATAATTGTGTGCGACAAACAGCTGTATAAAATACATGTATGAATAATATACCTACATTTGTGATGAACCGCCCCCTCTCGTCACTAGTCCTGGCCGACCATCCGCCTCATGGCGCTTGCGCCACACGCATACTTCCGTGCGCACCCCAGGGCACCGACCGAGCGAGGAAGGGGACTAGCCCCTTCCACCGCGCCTCCCCGCCAGCCACGGTCCCGCGGGTATAAAGCGAGCGGCCGGAGCATCCAGTCCTGTCTCGGCTCCGATCCCGACACGACCGCTCCCGCTACCGATTCACCACGTTGGGCACTCCCAACCTCCTTCGTACAATGGACGGGTACTCCCGTCCGCATCCGGGTACTCCCGGAGTGCGAGTCTCCGCCGTCGGGTACCCCCGGCGGTCTTTGGCTTTAACCCGGCCGGGCTCTCCCGTCTCCAGCTGGGTACTCCCAGCGTGCGAGCTAACCCCGATCGGGCACTCCCGATCGGCCTGACCTGACACCGTAGATGTAAGACCGTAGCTGTAAGACCGTGGATGTAAGACCGTGGATGTAAGACCGTAGCTGTAAGACCGGAGATGTAAGGCCGTAGATATAAGACCGTAGATATAAGACCGTAGATATAAGACCGTGAAAGTACGACCGGTGACCGCAACTACCCCAGACACACGCTCCCGAGCGTTTACACCCCTCTGCTACACATTGTACATACACTACAACACAATAAACGTCGACTTACAACACGACAGTGTCTCACCGCTTTCTCACCCTGACCCCCGGCGAGCGAAGTCCGAGCAAGGGAAAAGCGGAACGTTACACATTTACAAGATATTTTTTAAAATTAATATTACATCCAATGGTATAGTACGCTATATTACACTACGTTACATATTATACAGTACATTATACTAGATTACATATTATATGAGTACATTATGCTTATACGTTACAAGGTACCCGGTAATGTCCCCATGGCAAAGTGTCGGTTGAGCCAGGCACGATGTATCGTTTATCATCGTGCGGACTCAGGGCGATTTTTGTCTCGGATACGGTGTAGACTTGATGTAGCTTCGATCGTACGCACGACGAGTCATCTCGATCTCGTCTCTCAAACATTGCATGTAATCGTCAAAAGTTATTGTTCGCGCTACCACGATGCTTTTAACCCCCTTCGCCCTTTTCGTGTCGCTTTTACCGTCTACTCTCAAAGCATACATTTTCGCCCTGAGTCCGACGAATTCGGTCATAATTGCTCCATTATTCTCATCTTTCATGAGCCCGAGGACTTTCTTATTCGCATGCGGTATACCGTACGCGTTGTCATCTGGATAATCGCTCGTGTCGAATCTGCGTATATCGCTTTTCACAGTCTCGTATACATCCTCACACTCGACGTGGTATATGAGACTGTTCGTATCGGTGTACATAATTTTACACTTGTCTCTGTACAGGGGTAGCATATATTCATGGTGAAATTCATACAAGCAGATCTTGGATATGTCGAGGACGCACATACCCACGTAGATCGGCTTGTTGAATTTTACCTCGAGTTTTCGCAACTCCACGGCGCGGCGGCGATTAAATTTTCGGAAAAAATGCTGCGACTATGGAAATTCGGTTTGGAGATCATCGCCTCGGCACCATAGCGACCGTCCCATTTAGTTATAAGTTTAACGTCGACGTGATTCCGCACGTTTTCCATAGTTTTGCCGAATACCGCGTTGTTCATTAATTTGTATAAATTTTTTTCGAAATCGTTTGTCGCGCGTGTTCTAAACTGAGTATTAAGCTCGATGTAATCGCGAAGCCATGGAGATTGTGAAAACTCCAATACGCGATGTATCTTTGTGACGCGCAGACCGTGACGCGTGCACTGCTGTAGGTTACGGTAGTGTATGATGTAACGCTTCTTATCATACACTGTCGCGAGAAGTTTGTTCTGCCGCTTGCCGGGTGGCTTATCACGCGTCGGACAAAACGGTAGATCGGCGTGCGCGTCGTGAAGATGCTGCGGATACTCGAGATCGACCTCGAGAATGTACCCCGTGAGTGCATCCGGAGCGATCGCGTTTGCATTAAAATCAGCAACGTTAGTGACCCATTGAAAATTCGCGTAAGGCAGCGGCTGACACATTGCCCACCCGTACAGATTATTTACGTCAAAGTACATCAGGTACGAGGATGGTTTCGCGGGATCGTAAGACTGCATGTACTTGTTATTGGCTCGAGTATATCTACCGGAACATTGGCTGAGACCACCGCGTATGCCGCGTTCCACAAACATAATGTCAATGTCGGTGAGCAGTTCGAAATTTATACGCGTATGTTTCATCATGGCATCCCACGTGAAACCGGGTAAAGTATAATAATGCGCAGGATCTAACCCATAACTTTTAATGCTACTATCGCGGAAATTTTCAAAAATGTCAGCCAATAACAAGACATCGGTTTTCAAATATAAATCGCTGTAATCTCCCAGAGTTTCGATGGAGAATCGTTGCCATACATTCAAAGCATGTGCGTAATCGCTCTCGGATACGGTGTCACCGGTCAAAGAACTGAAAAATGATTCGCGCGGTGGTATACATAGGTCCTGCAGCTTGTCTGCACAATCTATATACTCATATGGAAATACACCTTTGCACGTCAATAAATTGAAATCGTCGCTGGATAATGTCGAAAATTCGGATAGTGTAATTTTTAATTTATCTGTATTGAGAAACGATGCCAATCTATTGAGACTGGTACTCAGAAATTTATACGAGTCAATGAATCGCAGCTTTATACAATTTTGCCGCTTGGAGTTATCGGTTATCGCAGCATTTTTAACATTTTTTGTAAAGGAAATGTACGTTTCCTTCGTTATCGGCAATACATTAACCGTGCCCTCGAACGCGGTGGCGATTTCATTAATGATGAAATGTGCATCGTAACCGGACAAATTATGGAAAACTATAGGAATAAAATGTGAGTCTTTATAATTTAGGTTACAATTAGAATGGGCTGGACCTCTATACCGCCCGGTTAGATGACAATGATCGCGTACTCGAATGTCGTCTGGCGCAAACGGTTTCTCACAAATATGGCAGTGCGTGCCGCTATTAAATTTTTCACACTGTTCTTTCGAAAGCGTTTCCATGGGGACATTAATTGACAAAATATTTTGCACGCGATGCGCTAAGTTATTAAGTTCGCCCGCGAACCATGTGATGCAATCCTTATCGCGACGGAACCGATACATTGATAACGAATCGTCGTACGAACAGCGCAGGTAATAGGCGATGCTAAATACCTCATGGTGTTGGTACGCTTTTGGATCCGTATCCGTCTTCTTCAGGATGCACTCCAGGTCGGCGTAGATGATAAATGGAACGCGTTCCTTTCTCTCGTAGTTGACAAAACTGAGCCACTCGTT